CAGAGTGGAGGAAACTCTTTTCTTTTGTAAAAATAAAACAGGGAATTTTTACAATACAAAGCAGAAATTTATAGCAATTAGTATAAAAGATTAATCCAGGCACAATTTAATTTCAGAATTGCACAGGGAAATGAGGTATAAACTGCCTCATGGTTTAATCTAGATGTTCAAGACAAGTAAAAAATTTGGTACATATAAATATTTGAGTTAAACTTGTTTTTAAACAACAAACATGTATTACTTTAGTAGTAAAAGAATACTGAGTAATTTTAAGGAGATACCATTTCACTGACACAAATTCTTCATTAATGCTTCTTCAAAGCAGTGCAGAGACATAATAATGCTTTATTCAAACATTACTAATTTTTGTTGAAAATTGAAACCCACTAGAGTAAGCTCTGAGTTGGTTCCAACTTGACAGCAATGAGAATAGAAAGAATATCAGAAATAAACAAGATAAGGTTCTACCAAAGCCCAAATAATTGATTAATGATGTTATAGCAATGTTAAATATTGAAGAGTTTGATACTTCAAAAGCCAGTAGTACATTGGATTTTTATTTTTTTAAAGACAACATTTAGGCTTGTACGATGGTGTTGCTAGGTGACATGCTATCAACTATGATTCATGGAAATTGTTTTCCTAACACTGAGATGCAATCCACATTTAAGGCTGTAGTTTTTGATTTACTGAAGCAAGTATTTCAAGTCCTCCTTGCTTTGAACAAGCAAGGTTGTGTCATCTGCATAATGCACGTTATTGATGAGTTTTCCTCCAATCCTGATGCCACATTCCTCTAAAGAGTCTAGTTTCATTAGTTATTTTCATATTGATTGAATAGGTATGGAGAAAAGATCTCTTTCTGCTGCACACCCTTATTTATTTTAAACCATGCAGTGTTCCCTTCCTTGCTCTCCTTAGACAACAGCTTTTGGGTCTAGGCATAGCTTTTGGTATAGGTATGAGCACAATCAAATGCTCTGGGAGTCCCATTCTTCTCAATGTTAGCCATAGTTTGTTATGATCCACACAGTCAAATGCCTTTGCACAGTCAATAACACACAAATAAGCAAAGTTGGTGGAATCATGAATGCAAGTTTGTAATAATTTTTTTTAAATTTTATTATTGTGTGTGTGTGTGTACTGTCAAATCAGATCTGACTGGTACAGGAGGAGATTGCCCCTCCTTCTCCAGCAGAGCATCTGGTGGATTTGAACCGCATATCTCTGGGATTGCAGTGTAGCTTCTTGCCACTAGGCTACCAGAGCTCCCCCGTAATAATTTTTTAAAGTTACCAAAATAAATAACACTTGATATTTACACTACAAATCAGGGCAAAAGAAAGTTAGAATGGTAAAAACATTAAGAAATCAGTTCTACTCTAAACACAAAGAGGTTCCTATGAACTGGAATAAACTCTGTGATAACTGGACAAAGAAGACATGGAGAGATTATCTGTTTTTCCTGTTTCTCCACTTGTACTTCTCTAGTGTTTTCTTTTCTTATAACCTCTCTTTTAGAAAGGAAAATCCTAAAAAAAAAAAAAAAAGGAAAATCCTAGTTAGTTGCAATATCATTTAGCAACGGAATAAAAAAATAAAACCCCTACATTTCTAGTAGTACAGCCAATTAAAAATAGCAATATGATTATCATCTCTGTTAATAACAATGAAAACTGGATGCTGCTGCCATCTAACTGGCTCAGGTCAAGACGGCCTCCATATAGAACCATAGCTGGACCTGACTCCAAAATCCTCCGGCAGATTTTCAGAGGCAATTTAATCTGTTCCCATGGAATAGCTGGTGGATTTGAATTATGTGCCTTCAGAATGGCAGTACAGCGCCTTACTACCAGGCTCCCAGGCTTCCGAACAAAGAATTACTTGGCCCTAAATGCCAGCAGCGCTGAGGCTGAGAACTCCTGACATCGTTACCTCTCCAGATGGACTCCTAGGTCCCCTGTGCCCAAGGGTGCAGACTAAAATCAGAAGATCAAAGTACCTTACAATTATTTTCATCTTTTTGATGTTCTTTATAAAAATTGGGTTATTTCAAGTAAATTTGCAAAGTACATATAAGTAAAGCTGAATCCTAGGGTTTTTTGTTCCCCCTCCTTCTTAAAAACCCCTTATTTTTGTATCAAGTTTTAATTCAATTCGGACAGCAGAAACTGTCTGGATCCTTAAGTTAGTGCCTGTAATCTGACTGCATTTTAAAATGAACTATAAAATTGGGTATGAAACACTTAAAAGGTATCCAGATTTTTTTTTAAATGATGGCATAATCACTTTCTCTATTTTCATTGCTAAAGATGCATTTGTTCTCCAAAGATAAGCAAAAGGCCAATATGTTCAACAGGATCAGTCATTAGGGAAGTAGAAGTCAAAGCCACTCAATAGAAAACAAACAGCTGAGCCAGCAGATTAATGTCAGCAATTAATTGGCAGATTTTCGGGGAGGAATGTGTGTGGTGTTTTCTCAAAAAAAAAATCACTCAATAGGATGAAGACAATCAAAAAGGCAGGACCAAGCATTGATGAGGATATGCAGGAACTGGAGCTCTGTTGCACTTCTAGTGCAAACGTTTAATTCTGTAGCCACTGTAAAAACACTGTGGCAGTTCCTCAAAAGCCAAACATAAAATTAACATATGGCCCACCATTTCCACTCACAGATATACCCCCACAAAGGTTCAAAGCAGGCAGTTGTTCATAAATGTTCACAGCAGTACTAATTACAATAAACAAAAATCAGAAACCGCCCAGACAGCCAAAAACTAATGGATAACGTAAGGCAGACTTTTGACATGATAGACTATCACTCTGTTACAAAGAGTATGCTGTTCTGAGGTCACATCATGGATGAAATCTTGACAATATACTCAGAGAAAGGAGCCAGATACAGCGCCCAAATACTACATGATTCCAAGGAATGTCTATAATAAGCTATAGATTCAGTTCATAGATTAGAGGTTACAGGTTCTGAGGAAGGAGACTTGGTGGTATAGCAGTTAAAGTGTATAGCTGTTAATCAAAAGGCTTGAGGTTCATGCTCACCCAGAAGCAGCAGAAAGAAACGTCTGGCAATCAACTTCTGAAAAACAATTCTTGAAAATGACTTGGAGCAGTCTTGGTTTGAGCTGGCAATGATTCCAAGGTAACTGGTTTAAAACATCAACAGCCTACATTCAATCTTAGTTTACTCTCTTTTGAATGTTGTAAACAGAGTTATTGAGAATCTGAAACCAAGGGATCTCCTAGCCTAAAATCATAAAATAGTAACTGAAACTCTTACTTTCAAGACTGTTTCTCACAATGAGTCATTCATGTATTACCTTTTTCTGATGTCATCCAGATTTGTTCTGAGCATAACACTGGCATATATCTGATGAACATCATGCCTTACTCTATGGCAATTGGGCCGTTTAGGCTGATTCAAAAAAGAAGGATTCTGGTTTATTTGAAGATAAGGGCAATTGGTAGTTTTCTTCTAGGTTGTTAGTCCTGGAGTAGACCAAGGAGACACAGCGGGGCAAGGTAGTCAATATAGAAACTGCTGTGACGATAGAGAACATTAATAGAACATACACTGAGAAATAATGCAAGATATGGGTCCAAGAAGGGTGCAACATGCGGGTAACAAAGAATTCATGCCTTTTTGTCATTCAAAACTTGCCACTTTATTGTTCTTGAATATTTATGTTTTGGTCACTATCCACATTGAGGCTTGAAAATAAAAATAAAAACAAAACCAATATACAACAAAGCCTCAGCAAAAAATCCCAGGAATACTGGATCAGCAAGCTAGGAGAAAGAGCTTGAGCTCCTGGACCAGGTAGAGTCGAACACATGTCTAGGTGATACTGACTCGCCAGTATCAACATATAATAACACGTAGGCTGGCAACAGTGCTTCTGGGTGATGCAAATAGTGTGCTCAGCTGTAACAGAGAGGCTCCAGGCCAAGTCCACCACAAGTACCACAGAAAAAAGACCTGGCAATCTACTTCCCCCAAATCAGCCACTGAAAACCCTCGGAAGCAAAGAGTAACTAACACACATGGTTTTGCCTTGAGTAAGTGCTGACTTGACTGCAACGGGTTAGACTAAGCAGATAAAAGCCTAGTAGAGACATATGCAGGATGCGCTGTGTGGACTGTGCCAGGGAGGTTCTGCAGAATACTCAGGGTTAAAGAACAGTCGGGTTTAATACTAGCTGATTTTCTGAACATGAGCTGTGTCCCGAAAAACAAAGCTATCAAGGGTTGTTTTTAGTTTTTTTTTTCTCATATTCTTTTAACTTAAGAAGTAATTCGAGTCACTAATTGCTAATACGTTAGTGTTTCTATTCTGACTGACAATGAAAGGGATTGTCGGTGTTAATGGAGAGAATACAAGTGCACTGCACCAGTATATTTAGACTTTCAACATTACATTCTAAGTTGCTTTATCCAAAAGGAAGGGGAGTTCTCATTAAAGGAAAAATTAAGAATTTAACTGGAATATAAAAATATATGTCAATATGCTAAATACTGATATTTAAAATACATATCTTTTGGATCAACACCAAAAATACTATCTTTCTCCCCCTGTATAATCTGGGTGGTGTCTAATTATAGGTAATTTAAAGTTATTTCTGATTCACAAAAATCACAAACTCCACAGAAATCAATAACAATATATCCAAACAACCCAAGTCAGAATGGCATTATACTGTGTACCACTGGATTTCTAGAGTAAGACTTTTTTTTTTAATTTAGGTTGTTTATTTTTCATTTCAATGAACATCTACAGAGATTTTGGGATTCCATTCATTCATTGTTGCACCCTTCTCCCCGCACAAACCCCTCCCCCTCCCCCTTCGCTCTTCTCCTTGAAAAGCAAAAGAAAAACTCCCTCATTGGTACAGAGTAAGACTTTCGATGTCTGGTAGTAGGTATTTGATTACGTCCCACAAGGAGGCACTGGTGCTTAAGAAATGTAAGGTGATGACTACAACTATTAACATTGAGGTGAAGAATTTGTGCAGCCTTCCACAATTTCAAAGAGGTAGTGGTAAATGCTCATTCTCCTGGCCACATCCAAAGCCGTTTCATCCAATTTGCTTCTGAGGCCCGGGTTGATGTAGCGGTTCATCAGCAGGAGTTCCAGGATGTCTTTGCTGTCTCTGTTCCCAGCAGCAAGATGCAAGGGGGTCAAGAGGCCTTTAGTCTGTGCATTGATATCTGCATCATGCTGCAGCAGGAAAGAAGCCACTCTGGTGTTGTTCCACTTACATGCACTATGAAGTGGTGTCCAGCCATCCACAGTGACCGCGTGCACGTCTGCCCCCTGGGCAATCAGCTCCCGGACGACATCCAAGTGTCCGCTATAGGCTGCTCGGTGAAGGGGGGTATATTCATCTTCATCTCTTGTGTTCACGTGTGTGGCCTTTTCAGATAGTAGTTTCCGCACTGTAGTCAGCTAAGAAGAGGAAAAAAAGGTAAAAAAAAAATGTAATTCAAAGCAATATAATAAAACAAAACAAAACGCTTTGGCCACGTGTTAATCAGGGAGCTCTAATGGCTTAGTGATAAGAAATCACTGTGTGGCTCCGTTAAGTGTTTTCATGTACACTGTGTCTTGTGATTCAAACAGTTCTGTGTAGAGAGGTGGTTATTATAAAATAATTATCCTGTACCGGTGGTTTTTGCCCCTTCTTGCTTTGTCATTGACTAATATTATTATAATGGATCTATTTTATTATTAGTTATTTTTGTTAATTACCTATGATGCCTAATTTACAAATGAAACTTTATCATCTTAAAAAACCCAAATCATTGCTGTCAGGTCAGACAAGGTTTCTTTAAATGTTTTTACCCGATTTTGTTCTGCAGCCCAAAGAAGCAATTTGCTTGGATCTTTTTCCATCTTTTTTTCTTGCAGCTGAAACCACTCTTCAGTTCTTTGTTCTTGATCTTCGTCTTCATCAGAATTGTCTGCCCAGACACTCTGGGTCCCAGTAGGAATTAGATGCCTGTGTGTTTCTAACAGTTCAAGTTGGTTAAATTGTTCAGAAAAATCCAAGGAATTTCCTGGGTCTGGTTTTCCATCATTATCATCATTTACTTTCTCTTTTTCCATTTTTCTGCTGTCCTAAAGAGAAAGCATCTCAACTGCCTGGATATGTTTTTCAGGAATCAGTAATGTCTGCTTTCTTTTATTTTTCCAGATCTGAAAATGTAAGAACAAAAAGTTATTAGCAAACAGTAACTGAGATTGCATTGATAACAGGTTAACAGTCTTGCAAGCATGCGCAAATAAATTGTCTATATTCTTCATGAATGCTACTCTTTCAAACAAACTCATTGTTTTGAGTTAGACCTGATAAGGAGTTTTCAGAGGCTATAAATCTATCTCCCAAGGAGTATCACTTGCGTTTGGGTTGGTAGAACAACTCCTTACCCATGAGGACATCAGAACTCCCTTTATACTCATGAAATGTTAGAGCTGACAAATTTTAGTCCTCTAAGAATAGCACTGGGCAAATCTACTCTCAAGGACCTTTTTATAAAGTTTTAAGAGCAAAGAAATCTATTTGAAGACTAAGGTGAACCTGATCCACACTGTGATATTTTCAATTTTTCTTAAGCATCTGAAAGTTACACAATGAATAAGGAAGATCAAAACTCGATGTCTTTAATCTGTGGTGCTGGCAAAGAAGATGGTATATCCTACAGACTTCCAAAAGAACAAACAACTCTGTCTTGGAAGAAATGCAACCAGAGTGCTCCTCATGTGGCAAAATGGTGAAAGATGGTGAAATCTCATCTCGTATGAATCAGGCAGCTTGTCAGGAGGGACCAGCCCTTGGAAAAAGACATTATGCTGGGAAAGACAGAGGGTCACAGAAAGAAAGGAAGACTTTCGATGAGAAAGACTGACACAGCAAAGGTACCAACGGGCTTGTGTATGTTGGAGATCATAAGGAAAAGTGCAGGATAGAACAAGGTTCAGCTCTATTGCCATTGTGAGTTGTATTATACTCAACATGACCTAACAGCAATGACATAAATTTAAGTCTCCCCCCCTTTCTACTAAATCAATGATTGTTATTATATTATTTTGAATCTATTGGTTTAGGTATTATTGTATTATGCTAAGTGTGATGTATACTTAAAGCTTTTAAATGCAGACACAACTTAAATTTTTATAAATGACATACACATAATAGCAGAAACAAAAACTTTATTTCTAAAAAACTATGTGGGATTCTTAAAGAGGGGAGAGCTCTTAAAGGGTTTCTCCCAATTTCTCATAAATGATGCTATTTTATCACAACATCTGCAATAATCATATGGTTCCTACTGCACTACTATCTGCACTAGGAAAATTCACTGCTTTCAAATGTAGTCTTAGTTATAGAGATTCAACTATAGTTCTTAGTTGCCTCATTCTTATTTTGAACTGTATTTAGGCTGTTAATGTACTCTTTTTATTCAATAAATTTGAAAATGTGTGGCATTAACCATTTTCTGGGCTCTTGAATTTAATAAAGATTCATGTCTTTAATTTCAAGAATCTATCTGTTCACAGGTACCTGGCAAAGACAGTGTGCTAAGTGCCATGACAGGTTCAAATCTTATGCATACCCAGAAAGGTCCAAATCTTATGCATACCCAGTAAGGTAAAAATTAACATAGTCAAAAGGATATGGCCAAGTGATAAGAAGCTGGGCTTCAATCCTAAAGTTCAAATTCTCCAGCTGTTCGGTGGGAGAAGGATGGGCGATCACCTCCTATGTGATTTACTGCCTTTGAAAATCTGCTAGAGGTCAGTTTTGGGGTCAGTTCCAACTTGACAGCATGTAACATCCATAATAAGTGGGATCAGAGAAGGCTCCCTCAAGGAAGGAATGCTGAGACTCTTAAGGCTGCCTTATTAATCTTGAAGCCATCACCAATTTTCGATATATCATAGCATATTAAAAAAAATTGAAATAACACATGTTGTTATTATGTACCACTGAGTTGGAACCAACACAGAGCTGACCCCCTGGCTATGTGTTAAGCAAGAATGATGTCAATCTGGCGACTAAGGTGTGCCTGATCCACACCATGAGTTTTGCAATTACGTATTTTGCATCAGAAAGCTGGACAATGACTAGGAATGACAGAAGGAAAATTAATACCTCTGAGCTGTGGTGCTGGAGAAGAGTATTGGATATACGTTGGACTGCTAAGAGAACAAACAGGTTTGTCTTGAAGAGGGTGAAACCAGGCTGCTCCTTGGAGGCAAGGATTCAGAAACTCCATCTGACATACTTTGGGCATGTTGCAAGGAGTGAACATTCCTGGGAGAGGGACATCATGCTTGGGAGGGTGGAGGGACAACACAAGAGATGAAGACCCTCAATGAGATGGTTTGACTAAGTGACTTAGGTAATGGGGGCAGGCGTGTCAGAGACAATAGGGTTGGTTCAGGAAAGAGCAGGGTTCAGAGCTATTGTACATAGTAGGGTTGCTATGAATTGCAGGCAATTTGATGGCACAAAACAACAATAGATACTAAAAGATATCTTTGCTAGCGCTGTTTCTTTGGCCTCCCAACTGTATTCATCAACATCTTATTACTCTTTCAAGGTTCTCCAGATGCTGTCTCTTTCATTAGGTTTTTCTTGAGACTCCCAATTAGACACTGCTATGTTTGCAACTTTCATTTTTTTTGTTTCATTTTGTACTATATGTTTTCTTTATTTTATAATTAATTTTACATTTGTTTTAGTTCCTTAAAAAATTGTAAGTTTAAAAACAGGGACAACATTTCACTTCTGTTTGCTCTACTTCTATATACTGTGATTAGGTGCCGACAAGTCAGCTTTGATTCATGCTGGTAACAGAATGATGGACACACTGCCCAGCTCTGTGCCATCCTCATAATGACTACTGCTCTTGAGTGCATTGCTGCAGCCAGTTTCAATCTACCTCACTGATCCTCCAGCAGGTTTTCAGAAGCTGTAAATACATGGGAGGACACTGCCCATCTTTCTCTTGTGCAGCAGCTACTGGATTTGAACCACACATCTTGGGTTGGCAGTATAACTCCTTACCTATATATGTTGGTGTTGTATAAAATTTAATAGAGGTAAATTTAAAATTTACCTCTATTATATTAATATTAAAATTTATTAATATTTAATGTACTTGTAAATATTTAAATTAGCATTGTTGTTGTTGTTATGTGCCATCGAGTCACATGCGATTCAGAGACCCTACGTACAAGAGCTCTATACGCTCTTCTATCCTGTGCCAACCTAGCCATCTCAAATGCACTTATTCCCACCTCTCTAGTCACAGAATCGATCCATCTCATCAAAGGGCTTCCTCTCCTTTGCCGCCCCTCTACTCTGCCAAACATGATGTCTGGCTCCAAGGACCAGTCCTTCCTTGCAACATGCCCAAAATATGTCAGACGAAGCTTCAGAATCCTTGACTCCAGGGAACATTCTGGCTTCACCCTCTCCAGGAAAAACCTGTTTGTTCTCCTAGAAGTCCATGGTATATTCAACACTTTTCTCCAGCACCACAGCTCAAAGGCATCAATTCTCTTTCTATCAACCCTAGTCACTGTTCAACTCTCTGATGCACAGCACGTAATTGCGAAGACTATAGCCTGGATCAGGTGCACCTTAGTCTCTAGTCTGACATCGTTGCTCTTCAGTACTCTTGAGAGGTCCCTCACAGCCGACTTTCCTAATGCAGTTCGTCTCTTGATTTCCTGGCTGCTGTTACCAAGAGTGTTGACCATGGAGCCAAGTAAACTAAAACTGTTAACTATCTCAATCTCTTCACCATCCATAGTGATGCTGCCAATTGGCCCAGTGGTTAGAATCTTTGTTTTCTTGATGTTGAACTTCAGTCCATATAGGAGGCTGTAGTCCTTGATCGTCTGCAGCACGCGCTTCAGGTCCTCCTCAGTTTCAGCAAGCAGAGTTGTGTCATCTGCATAATGCAGGCTGTTGATGATTCTTCCACCAATCCTGATGCCACATTCCTCTTGGTATAGCCCAGCGTCTCGGATGATCTGCATACAGATTGAAAAGGTATAATACATCCTTGACGAACCTCCTTCTTGATTTTGAACCATGTAGTATCTCCTTGCTCTGTTCTGACAACTGCCTCTTGGTCCAAGTATAAGTCTCGCATTAGCACAATCAAATGTTCTGGGATTCCCATTCTTCTCAGAGTCAGCCACAGCTTATTGTGATCCACACAGTCAAAAGCCTTTGCATAGTTAATGAAGCACAGATAGACATTCTTCTGGTATTCTTTGCTTTCTGCTAAGATCCATATTTTTAAATATTATTAAATTTTAAAATCCCATCACTTGATTTTGCCTGAAATAGATTCTGATAAGTTTCAGAACTAGCCAAACCCTTCAGATACTGATTTTTTTTTCTACGTAATTTCACAAGTTTCATACCATATGATTGTAATGCAGCATTAGATTTCATTACTAGTGGTAGAGCACTAAACTCAAATTAAAATCTATTACTCATGAGTACTAACTTTTACTTCATTTGTAAAATGTCAGAGTTGTACTTAGAGGACTACCAAGCTTTTCAGTCTATTGAAGAGACCCTTTTGGAACTAATTGATGCCTTAGTTTTTTGGCATTCCCATTTTGTCTTTCTGCCCTAAACTATCCCCTGAATCTTAGAGCACAGAAGTATCATACATCAGTTCTTTAAACATTTGACTGCTATTGATAATGCACAATGTAAAGTCCACCTTTTATATCTAGTTAATAGTAAGGAATATATCTTACCCTACGTATTGCTTTTCTTATAATATCTTCCCTTTCACAAATCCTGAATTTATAGCTGCAGATAAGATTTCCTTGGCTGATTTCAATTACAAAAGTCAAACTGAGGCACATCCACTTGGTGGAGGCTTTTAAAAAACCTACCCAGATCCTATTTGATTACACTCTACTAATAGGGTACACCTAATCCAGGATATGTGGAAGGAGGAGTGGCGTCCACTTCCATAACAGCTTGCCTCCGGAAACCCTATGAACTTGGAGAGAGGATGAAAGGCACCCAAGCATCAAGGACTCTCCTTCATAGGGTCACTATGAGCCGC